CGGCGGTGGCCGCACCGGTCTCGGTGGGGTGCGGGGTTGCTCCCGCTGGCGACCGGGCAAACAGGCCACGGGGTTGTAGCAGATCTGTACGTTGGCCCTGAAAAGGCTGTGGAGCCAACGGCGGGGCAGGGGTTCAATGGGCAGCTGGGAAGGATGTCTGTGAGGAAGGCTGGGGATAGCCCCTTCAGAGAGATCAACACTGAAGTCTTCGCTTCTACTGCAGTCTGAGGAGTTACAGAGCCATAAAACTGGCCTTAAAAACATTAAAAAAGCCAACGAACACCAGCTTTTATAAGCCCTGGGTAGGATATGACTATCTTGAGTCAATGGTTTTACAGTTTCCAGAAGTAACGACATTTCAAAGCCATGGAAGTCATCCCAGGTTTCCTAATTTCTTTTGACAAAGAGCTCCCCTCCCTTGGTCAACACATCCCACACCATGATGAGGTTTCTGCTCCCACACCAGATGATGAGGTAAGGGACTGCCCAAGCCATCAGAAGGGTGTAGGGGAAAGCCATCTTCCATTTTGAACAAGGGGAAGGAAGCAGATGAGGGGAGCTACATACCAGTCTAGGAACTAGGGTGAAAGGAGAAGTCCGTCTCCAGCAAGAAAGGAGAAAGATCTCCACTGTCAACTGAGGAGGTGGGAGAGAGGGCTGGGCAGTTTCCCACATCGGGATTTGGGTGGTTGTTGCTGTATCCATCCCCAAAGACCGTGAGGAAGGCACTCCTCCTCCTCTTACTTCTGAGCATTTCAAGGAATAGGAAAGAGGGAATTTTCACATCCACAAGTTATTTTTAAAATATGAAGTGGAGGCTCTCATTGATGGTCTCATTCTCTGCACCTGGATGGAAGAAAGAACTCATCCCCTGCTAATTAATATGATGCCCAAAAATGAGGACATATACTTTTGCTAACCATCCATTTTAAATACAGGTTTGAGTGCTGTTCCATACAACATTTTTCAAACGTGGTTCATCAAACTGTCTTGTAAATACTGCATTTTCTCTCCAAGAAAGCTTTTCAACAGGGTTAATTCCACTTTTTCCAGACAGACACATTCGAGTTTTCTTTAGTAACGCAGGAAAGGGTCAAGTTTATTAATTTCCGCTGCTATATCTGGGCACTGAACTCAGTATACAGTTCTATTCCTAGATCTGGTTTTAAATACAGTTCCTAAATACTGTGTAACCACAATAAAACCTCTGGGACTGAAAAAAACAATGAGGGTTTATTAGTTTTAACAGCAGAGAATAAGCGCATACACATGTAAGTACCCCACATTGCATTCTCCCCTTGACGCGCATAGAATCTAACGAAAGCTACATGCCTGCAGGAGGGCAAAATATTACTCAATGAAAGCAACAAACAGAAGAAATCTAAACCAAAGCCCTGCAGATTTGGATGTAAATTCATATCCAAATGCCTTGCTCCACCTTCCCTCTTATACTGGACTATACCATTCTTCTGATGATGGTCCAGGGTAAGGGTTCCTCTCAAATATCTCTCTGTTGTGCACAGACATTCCTATAAAACTGTTAGTTAGATAAGTTATATGTAACTTCCACCTGGCAGGGTGAACACAAGCTTTCTCCTTTCTTACTTAGATTAACAGAATACCATGCAGTTTATTCTGAATGGGTCTTTTCTGTAAGGCTTTTAAAAACAGAGAATTTGTCTTCCCTGCACAGACATTAAAGACCTTGCACCATCTTAAATCTCATGGTTAAGAGATTTCCCCAGTGAGCTTACAGTTCCATTTGACTCATGTTTCACCCCAGACATTGCTGCATTTCAGCACCGTCATACACAAACCACATTACCTGCTAAATATTTGAGGATTTTTATGCGTAAGGAACTACATCAGTGCTTCCAGTTTTGCATAGATGCACTAGTTACTACTTTCTTGATCCCACTGGACGTCAGACCAATTTAATCCTCCCTTGACCATTTCTTCAAGTCATGAATTGCCAGGCCAGGCTGCTAAAGAGCAGCAGGACGTTGTTTCCACCAAAACTTCTAGGAGTTCTACCCATTATACATTTATAGCAGCAGTTAGTTCATCCCTGTAAAACACACTTGTTAGCACAGCACGCCAGGCTCAATCCTTCAGTGACTTCAGTACGGTTGACTTCACTTAGTATGAAGCAGGCTGATATGCTTGCCAGTCAGAGACCTGAATGATAAATTACAGAAACATTGTATATAAAGTGAGTAATTACATTCTTACTTGTAGCATTTGTGTCAGAAATGTGTCTTCATTTATTTAATTAGTTCATAATCCCATATTCAAAACATGGCTAATCTTTCTTGATCCAATAAAATACAGGCTTCCTGTTTAATCCTGATAGCAATCTCTATCACTCAGCAGCTGCAGCATTTCACCTCCACACTGTTTACCATCCATGACTAGAACTGAAACACCCTTGTTGGCTGTTTTTTATCTCTGGACAGTGCTATAATTGCCTCTAATTCTGATCCAAGAATATAATATGGGAGATCCCTCTTTAGTGGATGATTCAAACTATTTGGTATTTTGGATATAAAAAGCTCCTTTGTTCCAAGTTAGAAGAACTACTGAAGAGTTAAAAACCATTTTTTTCATGCTTGCAGCTGTAAAAAGTGCCACAGTATTGATTTTGGATATTATTTGATGATTCACTTCAACTGTATAAATCATTTGATCAGAAGTTGTAATTACAACTGTGCCCTGCCAGCTTCTCCATGCTGTAGCCTGTCCTGGTTCATTCTAGAAGCAGAACCTTCTGGTGCAGAAAGCATTTCACACACACAAGAATCAAGGGCCAGATCTCATCTCCAGCTAAATTCCCGGTGCAGAGGAATGTTATAGTTGTCTTAATAGGGCACTTTGGGACTTTCAGCTAATAGAGAAAGCCTTCAGCATCAGCCTTGCAGGCAACATAACTGAAGCATATTAACTTCCCCCTAGACCAAAACAAGGATGCCTGGAGAACCAAGTCAGCAGCTCCTATTTTCCCTAAAGCTACACTGAACTTGTCCCACATCATAGCCAGTAGCCAGCAGCTGTGTACCCAGTACGGTAATAGTACAGTAGCAATAGCACATAACTGTTGTCATGTAAAGGATTTTACTTCCCCCAGTTATACTTGGCAGCAAGACTTACTTTTTCACCTTCTTGATTGCTTCCATAGTTCTTGAGGCAGTGACTGCAGCCTTTGTAGTAGAGCCTTGAAAATCTTCTGTGGACTTTTATTGATGGTTTTTCCCCTCCTCTTGTGAGGCACAATTCCAATGACTTCGTTTTTTTAAACATTCACTCAGGAAAGAAAATCTTTACAGTAACAAATGTTTAAAGTGCATTTCTGTACTTTACTGTGTGCCAGAGTCCTTCACTACTGGATTAGGAAAATCCAATTCTTGTAATTTAACTGAATTTAAAAATATATTGCTAAAAAGGTATATGCAGTGCCACAGACCTTTATTTACCATCCCTTTGTATCTTCCATATACTGTTGTATCCTTTTAATAGACGGGAGTTTTATTTCCTCCTGTGATTCTCAGAATTGCAGATTCAGCTTTGTTAGCTCTGCTGGGCAATTGTGCAGAAAAAAAACTAGTTTAACCTTTGCAATAAGTGATGGTTGGCTTATACAAAGTTCCTGAGACATTCGTCCATTTTACAACAGATTGTAATTCCTCTTCTCTGAAAATACTACAAATACAGGTTCTGATTTGACCTCTTTATTCACCTCTGCTCCTGGCCTCTTCTCTGTATAAGACAGCCATATTTTATTGCAACAGTACCTGGAATTTGGCAAGAGTTTGCTAAATGCTTGCAACCAGAAGTGCTGCAAGTATGTCACACAGCAGGAAAATTATGGATTTCTAGCAGGCAAAGTGGCATGAGCTACTTTGGAGACATTGTAGTTGGTGCAATCCCCTGTGTTCTTGTCCTTCTGAAGCACTTAACCCCAAAGTCAGCGATTTCAGTGTAAGAGAAAACATCCATTGACCTGGAAAGATCCTACAACATGTTCTGCAATCTATTTGCTAGTGTGTATTAGTTGTAATATCCCAGATTAAAGTGAATTGAAATATTGGCAAGACCTGGGCAAAGTAAAAACTGAATACAGTTTATGATAGAGATGTACAAGAAACAAAACAACTCAAGCAGAAGAACAGTAAAAACAACAAGTAAATAAAGTGACTTATCACCTACAGAAGTTGGAGGTGGATTTCAGGACGGAATTTTTCCCACCTTGCAAAGCTATCTTGCCCACAGGTATCTAGAAGAGAAAAGAGAAAAATACATTTAAAATTGAAAAGACTTCTGTTCACATAAAAAGTATAATCAAACACAAGGTTACACTTAAAGTGAAAGATGAGACTGAAGCAGGTATTCGCGATGTTTAACTTTTGCCTTCTGAGGCTAATCCTCAATTTCCTCTGTCATCAGTAAAAAGAAACAGGTTCTTCTGAATGACACCTCAGAGCAGAATTCTCTCCTAGCCATTGTGGATTTTTTTTTGAAAGATGTTATTGACTCCAGAAAGAGCCTACAAAACCAGAGGCACACTAGGTAAAAGCTAGGCCTTATGATTACTGTCCTCAGGACCTGCAGACTAACATAAAAAAATAACTTTACCCACATGAATCCGTCTATTCAGGTCATATCAGAACATTCATCAGTTTAAAGACCAAGTGTTTAATAGTAAGATAATCCCTGCACATTTGATAAACAGTTTCACTTTCTTATCTTTCTAGTGGGTATGGTGATCATGACAAAAGTAATTTTATGGGATTCCACAAAGTATCTTGTAAAATGGCAACCTTATTTTATAGTGGCTTTTATTGCTACTGGAACTTTTACTAGGAATTGCATCACAAAAATTGGTTAACATAAATATTGCAGTGAAGAACTCTCACCATTTAATGCCAGAGTTAACTCTGCCAATGCAGCCTTCATTTTCAGATGGAAAAGGTCATTAGAATTAAAATTGTCCTTAGACTTCATACTTAGCTGGGATGAAACACTGGCATGAAGTTTTGTAGCTCTGTTCAGCCTGGAAAATATCCCAAGATTTGCCACTGTCAAGCAGTCTTAGAGAGTCGCCTTAAGCCCTCTCTATAATATATAAACAGAAACAGAGATTTGGAGATTAACATGAGGAATATCAAATGGGTTTCTTTAACATTTACCACAGTGAGACCCTGTTTTGAACATCCACAAGATACCACAGTACCGAATAATAATAAACAACACCATTTACATTAATAATCAGATTTCAGAAATTAAATTCACATGGAAGATGGAGCATCATTAATGGCTGAACTACAAAAATTAAATTTGCATTCATATAAACATTAAAGATGTCTTGTGTGCTTGTTCTTTCCGCATGTTATCCTTTTCTTCTTTTTAAGCTTTCTCAATTTTTCCCATTTTTGCAACTTTTTTTCTTTCTTGTCTAACATGATCTTATGCAGTCTTCGCATTTTGAGCTCTTTATGGTTCTTTATGATAATTTCTTCCATTTTTCCCTTTCTCCTTTCATTTACTTCACTCTTCCCATCCCCCTTTTCTCTTGCTCATATAAACACATACTAAGATCCCTACAAAAGCAGCCGCTTTCCTGGAGGCTACGGAGCCAGTCTGGAAGCAGTGCTGCCTGATGGACAATGAGTCCCAAAACATCTTGTGACTTCAGAGACCAGGCCTGGCATCAGTCCAGTTACATATGGTTAACATCAATTTGAATTTGCTGAGTAGCGTGAAAACAACAAGAACTGGGGATTTATTGTACCAAACAATCTTCTGGCTCTCACTAAACCCTCTTTTCATTAAAGAAAATAAAATAAAAGTATTGATGTCTGTAGATGAGGACAATAAAGATGAGCCACAGAGGAGCCGTAACGGTTTGCATACTCATAAACCCTTCTCAGTCTTTGTGGCTTCAATGTTTTCCTATGGGGGATAATGATAAGAATGTGCTAGAATGCAATGCTCTCACATAATGTAGAGAAACTATTTTCTTTCTCCCTGCCTCTACATTTTAGGCATGAAGCTTAAGCTCCCTAGGGA